ATTTTCTTAGTCCTCTGCTGCTTTTGATCGCATCTGTTGGTTACTGACTATGGGCACTAATGAAAAAATAATTAACTAGGTTACAGAAGTCTATGACTTCCATCTTGCTGGCATTCTATCTTGCTGATGCTCTCTGGCTGACACCTTCTGTGTTACCTTCCCATTTGTTCACTCTGATGAAGTCAGGTGCTCTAAGGAGAGGAGATCTGAAGGAGGCCTCCAGCCAACAGCTCATGAGGAGCTGATGCCTCAGCCCAACAACCCAGGAGAAACTGAATTCTGCCAACAGCTACATAAGTGAGCTGGAAAGGGGCTCCTTCCTGGTCGAGCCTGGAGATAACTGCAGCCGGGGAGAGACCCAGAGCCAGAGAATACCACTGAGACATGCCTGAAGTCCCGATCTACAGGAGCTATGAGTTTGTAGTAAAGGTTATTTTAAGCCACTACATGTCAGGGCAATTTATTATGCAGCAACAGATAACACATGCTGCTAAGAGATTTTTGCATATCAAGGTATCTCTGCTGTAGAAAGTGTATTTTTGCTGGAATATTATCTCTGCCCCTACTGGGCCCTCTCACATCTCTTCATACTTCTTTTACCTTCTTTCTTGACTCTACCTGATCTCATCTGTGATTGGTAGTGATGTCGCATAGTTTCAAGTTTGCAGATTATCTGTCTCTTAGCTTCACTAAAAATGGAGTTTTCAGAGTCTTTTTCAACTTTCTTATTGTTTTTATGTGCTTTCCAGAGAAAGAAAGGAGGAAACCACTGACTTATGCAGCTGTGTTTATAGCAGTAATCTTTTCATTTTCATTTCCCTAATCAACAGTGAAGATAAGCTTCCTTTCACATGTTTACTTGGCAATCTTTATTGTCTATTTTTATCATTGAATCAATATTCTATTACTTTGCTTATATTTGTCCTATCAATATGTAAAAGCTCTTTGTATATTAGAGATATCAGCTTTTACCTTTATGTTACTTGTCCATTAAAACTGAAAAGGACATCAGTGCTCCCTACATTTATAGAAATTTTTATTAAGAAATTTTTTTAATTTTTCTGTAGTCAAATTTACCAATTATTTCCATTATGACTTGATATTTTGAGTCTGGCTTAAGAAGGCGTAGGGAAACAGGGATTTTGAATTGTGGGAGCTGAAGGGTATGACATATTCTATAATGGCACCCCAAAGGTGGAGACAGAATAGCCAACATTTCTGTAAAATATAAAGACAGTGTCTTAATGAATAAAATGTAGAAAAATTAAATTATCGAAAAGGGAGCTTTTAAAAAATTAAATAACACTTATATCAAAGATCATCTATCTGGAATTAGGATAAAATGTTGGCTCTGTATTTTTGTTTTTCCAACTGTAGTACCAATATGTTGCAACACTAGTGAAACGGCTATCTTTCCCCCACTGATTGGAAATGCCTTCCTTATCAAATGCCATCTTCCACGTAACAGTTGTCTGGACTGTGCTGACGCACTCGTCTGCTCCTGTGTGAACACCACACGGCTGCACACACTATAGCACCGAAGTATCCCGGCTCGCCATACACTGACCACCAGACCTCGGTCAACTCCTCTGAGCCTCAGCTTCCATTTCGCAGCGTTGTTTTAAGAATTAAGTACATAAAGGATATAAATAAATAAGTTTTCTGGCACCATGCCTCACACAAAATAAGCATTCACGAATGACTGCTATTAACACTATCACACCGCATGATGAAATTAGACTACAGGCAAAGTTCAATGATGATAATGTTACTCGGTACTGTAAAAATACCAACAAACCCTACTTTCCTTTTATCCTTCCCTGTGTGTTCAAGGGAACTTCTCCCTGTGGGGAGATCACTCAGATTCTGGTAGGTGTTCCATTCCCCTAGGCCAATAACGTGAAGAGTGGAAGGAACAAAGAGTAACTGAGTGTGCTTAGGAAAGGGCCACGGGGGCCATAACGAAGAGGGGAAGTGGTACTTCACTTAGATTTCCAGAGGAAGGGGCTTAGCAACACATAAATGTACAAGAAAGGAAGAAAGTAAAGGCATCACAAAATCAGGCAAATTTTAGTCTCTCATCCATTTATTATTTCTACGTTGTGCTTAACTCAAAGAGAAACAGAATATAAGTTTGACCTCCAAAATTAAGTTGGCCAGACAGTGAAAGGAGTACAGTTCAAATGTAACCATAAAAACGTAACTGGTATTATATGTACAGACAAAAGTACAGGTGCTTACACCTGGATTCTAGGTGCAATAGAACCATTCTGTTCAGTGTTCCAAGTATTTATAAGTGCTTCAGGCAGCCCACACCTTCAAGAACTTTAAAATTTACTAGGGAGAATAAAATGATTATATAGATCATACCACCACAAGGCAGAATTCACGTCACAACTGAGCAACACCCCATTTATATGTCCTCCAAGGTGAGAGAGATCAAAGCTTGACATGCGGGAACATCCAGAAAAGCTCCCCTGTAAAGGGGCCATTTGAATTAATCTTTCAAAGTTAAACAGGAAAAAAAATTTAAATAGGATTTTGATGGTAGAGATTGGATAAAAGAACATTATTTCAGCATATCACAGAGAAAGCTCCAGGCATTCCCAGAGCAATAATAATCCAAATTTGCTGCAAAATAGAATGGAAGCAGTGGAAGATAAAATTGTTGCCATTTTGTAGAGGTCCCTGAATGCCAAGTTCAGGGAACTGTGCTTCAACTGATAGGCACTGAGAGGTGACGAGGGTGTAGGTGAAATGGTCAAGGGATTAATCTGGTAATGTAGTTTTTATGGAAAGGGGGAGTATAATGGAACAGGTGGTAAAAAGGAAATTTAAGCAGTCCAGGTAGGGGAAGAGGACAGTCTAATCTAAAATAGGATCCCCTAGAACAGAAAGAAAGGAATAGGTCATAGGGACACTGTAGAGGTGCCAACTGAAGACAGGTTGCTGATGAGGTAAAAGGGCTCAGTGGAGAGTGGGGAGTGAAAAGTAACTCAAAGGTGGTAAGCCTGAATTACTGAGTATCAAGAATAGAAAAAAAAATAGATTGGACTGAGTAGTGGAGGGGCTGGGAGAGGGAAAGGAAGAGGAGGAGGAGGAGAGGGACAGCTGTCTTGAACTTGCTACGTTTGAAGAGCTCACAGTACCATTAGACGGAAATGCTCAGCAAGCAGAAGAAAACATAAGTTTAGAGTTTTGAGGAAGGTCAAGGCTCTGCTCATTACTCACGTTAAGGTCATAATTGAAGCTATCTGAGCAGGTGCAAACATGAAGGAAAGGGGAGCAGACTCATGTCAAGGGAAGAAGAGGACTGGCTAAGGAAAAACCGAAGTCAGGAGGGTGAGCAGATGGAGAGGGAGACAGAAGAGGAGGAGCAGCAGAGAAGGGAACAGAACCTAGCGTAGCAACGCGGAAGCCAAAAGAAGGACCTTCAGGAAGTCTTGTGGGTCAGCGATTATGGGTGATGTTTATTTTTTTTAATGTTCTACCAGATTTAGCTACTATTTTTGTAAAAATATTTTATTCAGTTTTTTTAAGAAATCTTTTTTTTTATTAAGAGAGGCAAATACTACAGAGATGTAGGAGGATGAGGGCTAATGACATCACATTTAGGGATCAGGAACTCATGTGTGTCCTTGAGAAACACATTTCAACAGAAAGGGGGAAAGACTGCAAGGATACGTAGAGGGATGCTCAGCTAATTAACAGGATGATCACTTAAAGGAGTGAGAGAGTTGAGGGGATTTTTTTTTTTTAAGGAAAGAAGTGAGAAAGAGGTACATTTATTGAAGAAGGGAAGGACAATAAAGAGGAAAGGGCTGAAGACAGGTGAGGAAGTAGAAATTCTTGACTGGGCAGGGGATAGAAGAGCACGAATATTAGCCTTGAAAAGACAAAAATAGAGATCTGTCTTCTAATGAGAATGGGAGTAGGAGGAAAAACAGGAAATGAGGCTGAGGGTTTTTAAAGGGATTAGAGGGCTGTTGAGGGATCTCAGTTTGAATGGTTCAAGATTAAACATGCTTAAGGAAGGTCTGTGAAGATCAGTGAAAGACAGAAAAGCAGTCCACACGCTTGACCAAATCAAGCTGGGAGTCTTCTTCCTAAACCGTAAATATCAGGTAGGGAGGAACCTCTCTACATCTAAAATTTCAGTAGGTCCCAATTTCAGCATAAAAGAAGTCACATCTGGGTTCATGGACCTTAACCTTTACAGAACACACTAATAGGCTGGGCTATTGCAGAGAAGGTGAATCATATATAAGTCATAAACCCTTAGCATTCAGAGGGATCTCAAAAGGTCATCTGCAGGGGGGAAGGTATAGTTCAGTGGTAGAGTGTGTGCCAAGTGTGCACAAGGTCCTGGGTTCGATCCCCAGTACCACCCTTTAAATAAATAAATAAACAAACCTAATTACCTCCCTGCTGCAACCAAAAAAAAAAAAAGGTCATCTGTGAATTCACAAATCTCAGGTAATACACTCAGCCACAGACATGCACAAATTATACCATGCTCTGTGAAGAGAGTTCAGACACCAAAACTCTTGCATGGAAGGAAAGGGAGCTTTTCTGCAGTAAATGGCTAGAAATCAGTTAAGTGATGAAAAGAGAAATGTGGTTTTACAGGATGAAGCCAGAGGAAAATTGAGGTTCAAAAAAACTTCCCCAGTCTGATTCAGCAGATAAAAATTGAATGATGTGTCAGGATCCTTGCATCCAGTCTCCAGAAGGATAATTTTAAACACCAAGAGTTTAGTCCCAGGAGAATAAACGTGCCCTGCTTCTTTGGCCACATCAGGTCACACAGGGATGCTTGCTGCGTGCGTTATCAGTGACTCTGATCACTATTTCAGGACCTTCCATTTCACCTTGAAATCCTGTTTCACTGAAGGTATTCTTCTAATCATTAAATGTGACAAAGAAATTTAAAGAAGCAATGCCCTGCTCCACCCAGGTCTTCTGCATTAGAGACCCTGAGGTTTTTCATCAATTGCAATTCAAGATGCCCCACACCTTGAGGAGCAGCACCTCTTCAGCACAGCTCTCAGCCTGCGGTTACTCAGGAGTAGGATGATGGGGTAGACTGCCATGCACAGATAAATCAGAGTCTGCCATACCCAGCATCTGAATTCCTGGAGTGGAAACATGCCTGCAGCATTGAGTACCAGTGACAGAAAATAGGGAATGAAAAGGATGGCAGAGGAGATGAGAGCCAGGAGAGCCTTGACGTGTGCCTGGGCACAGGGATCAGGAAAACCTGAGATGGACAGGAAGACCTTCTTGGTGTGTCTTCCCAGAGATGTAATGAGCAAAACCATGTCAGTGATGAAGACAACTGTAGGGACTGTCCAGGTAACAATTTTCAGAGGGAAGAAGTACAATCTCTCATATGTTCTCCTCAGAGTATTCCCAGTGACATTCCAAGATTGCAGACCTTTCCTTAAATAGTTCTGGTATATTCTCTGGTTGCCTATGAAAAATAGAATGGTGCTGGTGCTGATGCTGGAGAACCACACAGAGCTGAGCAGCATCCAAGCGACAAACCCAGACACCATGCTCCTTAGCCAGAGGAAGGCAGGGTGGGTGAATGTTGCAATTTTCATGCAGTGGAAGACACTGAGCCAGGTGGAGAACCATAACGTGACAGCATTCAAGAAGTCCCCCTGAATGGCTGGGGACTGTAATACAAGGTTGTGTGGGAAGGCCATTGGATACAGGAAAATATACATGTTCTTACTTATCACCACCCATTGCTGACAGAAGCAAGAGGACCCAGGCTGACCAATAACCTATTGCAGGGTGACAACGTTCTCTGCAGCCACCACCCCATGCCTAGTGCTGCAGTGATTAAACCGTTACCCACCACTGCTACCAGGCACAAAAGGAATAAAATGATAACGAAGATGATGGCTCTCTTTATCAGTCACCTTAGGTCCTGGAACTATGTCCTCTCTACCCATCTCTCCTGCAGAAAAGAGGGATCCAAGACTTCAAGGTCAATTCCTGTAGGGTCACTCTGGAAGGTCCTGTATGATATTTGTCCCTCCAGCTGCCCCAAGTGCAGCTGACGAAGTGGAAGGTGTAGGCTATCTGAGGAGGGTGAAGAGGTCTCTTCTTCTCAGAATAGATGCAAATACCGCTAAGGCTGGGTTTCAAAAGTCCCCCTGCCTGCCCATGAATTTGCCTGTCCTTCCTCTGCCTACTCTCTGCCCATGTCAACACTGGTGTGGATACTATATCAGGCCCTTGCATTTAGCATCCCTTACATGAGATGTTATGCTTCTCTAAGCTGACACCTAAGACGTGACCACACACCTGCTGGCTGCTCAGTGAGGAAATCAAGTAGACACGCCCGCTACAGATGATCAGAGCTGACATCCTTGGTTGGTTGGTATGTTTTGGCCATTGTTCTAAGTGATTCTCATTGTCATTAGTTCTCATAACGACCCTATAAAGCAGGTGCCTTTAGAAAACCCCTTAAGCAAACAGAAAACTAAGGAAACCCTCTACTGAGAGATGCTAATTCAAATCCTATTATTTGTGGTGACTGTTATCATCATAGAACACAGGAGACAAGTATACAGAATCAGGCAGGTGAATTTTTTAATTATATTTTATCAGTGACCTTTAGAGGGTATTTCACAGAGGAAACCCTACCAGGAAAGTTATGGGCTATGGCAACCAATGGCAAAGCCACGGGCTATGGCAGGATGAACCCTGGGCTAGGAACCAAAGCCATGGGTGTTAGTCCTAGCTCCACCCATCACTGTGAGTTACTGGGTATGTCAGTAGGCCCCTCTGTGCCTCAGTTTCTCCATCTGTAAGATGGGGAAAGTATTGTCTGTTCTACTTCACAGGATGGGACTAGAATCCTGGTTTTCAGAGTAAAAGAAGGCATTAAATAATTTTATAGATGAAATAAATGAAGCCTCAAAATATAGATTAAGATTTCCACCTAAAGTCACAGTTACATGGAGGAAAGATCAAGACTGAAACTCATTCCAGGACCAGGAATCTCTGTCATAGCAGCATCTCTTATACTCCTACCTTCTTCTTCCCTTGCCAGGGTCAGAAGACCAGATTTTGAGTCTTGTCACAGTCACTATCTGTGATCTCTGGGCCAGTCATCTAACCTCTCTGAACCCCTCTCTCTTCACCTATAAAATGTAAGGATCACAAATAAACTTGAATATGTATGGATGTGTATGTGGAAACTATAAATCGCTATACATGCATGAGAAATAAGCAAGGTGATGATGACAGCTGTTATTATAATGACTACCTTTCATTCCATCCATCCTGTGGAGGGACAAGTAGTCCAGGGAGAGTTCAGGACAGCATCAGGGATGCAGCAGAGGCCCAAGGTACCACATACTGGAAATCTACTTTAATTGCAGGAAGGTGGAGTAAGCAAAGGCCACATTTGCAATAGGAATGAGGTTCAAAGAATCAAAAAAAAAATCAGCAATCAGGTGAGTCCTTACTTAGACAGGTTGAGTGTAAGCAGATTAATGTGTCACAGAGCGGTAGGCAAGCAGAAATTGTTCTGAGTCAAATATGGCAACACTGAAGGCTCAGGATCAAGCAACATGAGAGTGAGGGAGTACTGTATAGCACACACCTCCTGAGAGGCACCACCCCCTACCAGTCCCATCACAGAATCCCAAAAACAGAGAATCGAATGCAGAATACTCAGCATCTCTCTCCAGTTCATCTGGCACCAAGGTCCAAACAGAATTTTCTTCCAACACAAAGGCCAGCTATAGTGAACACTGTGTTCCTGGGGAAAGCAGAGATGGTGAACCGAGGCCAACTCATTCACTCTGCCTTTCTGTGAAGATGCAAATCTCCGCGGGATAGAGTTCCCGCTGCTCTCTGCTCTGCCCTTGTTCCTCTGGCTGATATTTGACTGTTTCTACCAGAACTTGGAGCAAAAAAGCAAACTCAGAGCTCATAGTTCTGGAGAGTGGCCAGCCACAAACCTCCCAGCATGGAAAACGTCTATCTTTTCCCATCTACCTTCTACATCTTTGATGGCTCATATAATGGGAGAGCTATGCTGCTAACCCTCAATTCAATTAAGAAAAATTCATAAGCATCTTTTGCACATTATAATGACCCTGTGAGAGGTGCTGGGGCTACAACAATGGACTGGGTATCTCCCTTGAAAGTGCTTTCATACCCTGATAATAAGCCACAGGCATTTACTGGGCATATCCTATGTGCAGGTTAAATTAACCCAAAAGAGTGAATAATCATAGGAGGAATCCTGGGGTCGGCATCCTGAGCAGATTCTCTATGTGGAAAACACTTAGTTCACTCCTCTTTCTCAGAGGATAAAAATGGAGGGCTCTTGGGCTGTGGTGCGAGATCTATATGTCATCTTATTTTGATCCCAAGAATTCTCTTAAGAATTCAGTAACAGCAGCAGCCCCTTCAAGATGGTAAAACAAAGATGCTGTCTTGTCTGTTGGAAGGAAGGAGGGCCTGCGTCAGTAAAGGAGGTGGAAGTGTGATTATGTCTAGGGAATAGCTGTGTTAAGTTTGGCTCCAGCAGAGGATTCACATAAAGGAATGGTGGCTTGTCAGGCTGAAAACATAGGCTGGGGAAAGACTTTAGAGGCCTTGAAACTCAGGAGATATTGGGTTGTGTTTCTGGTCAAGATGGAGCCACCAAATGTTTGTGGGCTTTTATGAGCTAGAACGTAGGAAAGGGAGGTAGGGAACATCAACCAATTAGGAACTCCTGAGATAAGCCGACTAGACCTGGAATAACTCAAAAAGTTGTGAAAGTGTTACAGAACATGGCAGTTGCACCACTATCCCCTCCGCACCAGGACATTCAGCAAAGTTCTGGAGCTCTGTCCCAGGGACAGCCGGCCTTCCAGGTAACATTCCTGATGCTCCTACCTTTGCTGCCTCCAACCAACCCTCTAGTGGCTTAAGCCCCAAGGTTCAGTCTCCCCCACCACTTAAGATTGCCCTCCCTGTAGGAAGTCATCAGCTCACTCATGTTGCTGTGAAGAAAGGAAGAAAGGAAGGAAGGAAGGAAGGAAGGAAGGAAGGAAGGAAGGAAGGAAGGAAGAAAGAGAGAGAGAAAGAGAGAGAGAAAGGGAGAGAGAGGAGGGAGGGAGGAAGGAAAGGGATAGGGAAGGGAAGGGAGGAAAAGGGAAAGAAAAAGCAGGGAAGGGAGAAGAAGGGAAGAATCATCTTCTAAGTGAAAACTCTTCACACTGTGAGCTCATCTCTGCTCCCCTTTCTCACTCCTCTTGCTGTAGCTCAGCCTCCAGCTAGCATTCCAACATAACATCTTAGGGTCTCAGCTTTCCAAGATTGCTGGACAACTTAACATAAATACAATTGTTTATTTGAAAATTCTCTGTAGCCTCTATTCTGTCCCGCTGTTTATTACTCCTGTTCTGATTAACTCAGACATGTAGATCTCTTAACCACGTGTGGTGCTTTTCCCCATTTCTGCTAGTCTCTCAGTCTCCATACTTTTTTATAGTAAACTCCATCAATAACAATGAAGAGCATGCATTCCACCATATGCATATTTATTTTAATTATATGCTTGTGATACTCCACTAACACAGTGTATACATCATAAAACATACATCAAAAAATAGGAATTAAAAGGATGAGATAAAAATAAATGGAAATTGAGTTGCCACACTTTTCTTTCCACATTCAATGGATCATTTGCGCACATTCTGAGACGCAAATACCAGTTTGGAGACTGCCATCCCAGGCATCAGCATCCAGGGTCCGTGTCCTGCATGAGCGAACAGGAAGGGTAAGAGTCTCAAAATTAAGAACTATGGTGAATTTCCCTTGTTTTCTTTTTCTATCTTCTTTTGGACAAAACCTAAAGGCATTTTTTCCACATCAGACAATTCCTTTTTTTTGTTTTGTTTTTTTGGTGGGGGAGCAGATAATTAGTTTTGTTTATGTATTTCTTCTTAGAGGCGGCTCTGGGGATTAAACCCCATGCATGCTAGGCATGTGCTCTGCCACTTGAGCGATACCCTCCCCCACCCCCGCCAGACAATTCAATTCAACATAGAGCAAATACACAATATCACAAACAGGACCTGTAGTGGCACAAAACTCATATATGGCCTCAGACTTCCATGGGATCAAACTAAAAAGGCTCCATGGGAGGAACTGGTCTTAAGCAGAACACAAAAGAAGGGAATGGCAAAGAAGGGCAGAGGAAGGAAAGAAGGAAGTTCCAGATGGGCAGAAAGACCACAGGCAGCAGGGAGGAGCATGTGGGGAGACAGAAAGCAGCTTTCCTGGCCTGGAGTAGAGAGATGGAGCTCTGAGAGCAGAGCAGTGGTGAGGAGGGCAGTTGATGTATGTGGGATGGTGTGGGACAACCTGTGTCACCATTTTTAAAAAAGCAAACATTAGGCTGACCTCAAAGACAACTGACTATCGTTACAGGTCTCTGTAAAGGGAGTACAGACCAAAACGATGCTGGGAGAATATTACTGGGCTGCTTGTGCAGACAGTGAGAAAGGGTTGTGAGGAAATGAGGCCACCATCCTAGTCCAAGGTGGTCTGGGACCCAGACCAGGGACTAGGCGCAGAACAAGGGACGGTAGAAACAGGGATGGAAAAGAATCAATAGGGCATAGAAAGAAGGGGAAAGAAAGATGGAAGTGAAAAGAGAGAAGGACAGCGCCCAAACCTTATGCATTCTTGCTGCCCACGAGCTTGTCCAGTGATAGGAGTTACTGACACTGATAACTCGAGACAAACTGCTCTTTGCCCAGGGCTCTCCAAAGCCTCTTCTTTAGGACCTTTCTCAGCTTGGGGCTGCTTAGCACCAGGATGCTGGAGTGCAGACAGATGCCTGCGTAGATCACCACTTCCCAGGCCCAGTGCCAGTGGCTCTGGAGGGCTTTGATGTTACTAACAGCAATAACCAGGGACAGGAAGTATGATGTGTAGA